TAAAAAATAAATATGTAATAAATATTAATGTTCATAATTTTATAACTATTTATTAAGTTTTGTATCATTTATATATAATTATATAGTTTGAAAAAATAAAATAATAATTGGGTCAAATAAGCTTGGGTCAAATGATTTGGGTCAAGTGATTTGGTTCAAATGATTTGGGTCAAATGATTTGGGTCAAGTGATTTGGGTCAAATAAGTTTGGTTCAAATGAGTTGGGTCATATGAGTTTGGATCAAATGAGTTGGGTCAAGTAAGTTTGGGTCAAATGATTTGGGTCAAATAAGTTTGGGTCAAATGAGTTTAGATCTTATGAACTAGACCCCAGTTTAAAAGCATTTTTTGAATAATTAATATGAATTTCCTTATATACTGTATATTTGTCAAGTAATATAATATAGCCATCAATTATACAGTATATATATACTGTATGTAATGAGCTAACGGTTCTCTCACTGTTCACATACAAGTGCTTTGTATTATATAATATAACAAAAAAATAATAATAATAAATTAAATGTCTTTTTATTAAACAAAACTTTCAATACTTTTTTGTATTATCAATAGAAATGCATTAAAAAACTTGTGATTTAATGACACTTATATAATAATAATAATAAACAAATATATTATATAAAAAACAAAATTGTAAATCAATTTGTTTATTCAAAAAATAAATAAATAATTATAATTATGAATAGAAATATTATTAAAATATAAATTAATTATTATTTAACTTATAAAATAAATATCTAATGAAATTAAATAACAAAACTAACATTTTTTTTGAAAATAACATAAATTTTTAATTATATCAAATAAATGCTATATAATTATAAAATTAAAAAAAAAAATTAAGTTAAATATTGAGAATAATATTTACTTTTATCAAAACATATATCAATATTAGTTATTAGATTTATTTTTAAAGATAAAATCTATACTATCATTTGATAATAAGTTATTAAACATTGTATACATATATATATATATATATATAAATGTATATTTAAATTGTTTCTAACATACAGTATAACTAAATTAAATGATTTATATAGAAATGAATTTGTACTGAAAATGTGAAACAAACAAAAAAATTGTAGATTTAATAAATTTTATGACAATTTTTTTATTTTATTATTTTAATGATTAGATTATGAAAATTTTAGTTTAGCAACAAAATAAAAACATTTTAGCTATTATATATAATTGACTAGACAATTAATTAATTAATTGATTTATATAAAACATATATATATATATATATGAAAACTATTTTTATGACATTAATTGTAATATAAAATGAAATATATTTTATTTTTTAAAAAATTATTATTTAGTATATAATATTTTTTGAGTACGAAATATATTGCTTTATATTTATGTAACAAATATGTTTAAATCATAAAAATATTTTATTTTAATATAATAATTGTTATATAAAAATTTGATAATAAAAAATTATACTTTTATATTTTTTACATTTATATTTATATATATATATATTTATAATGTAAAGTTTATTTTAATATTAAATTTATATCAAAATAATTTTTATATATGCAAATAAATTATAAATTAAAAAAAAAACATTTGTTTCTATATAGATAATAGTATATTATTATATAAAATAAATTTTATTATTTAACAATTTAAAAAAATGTTTTTATAAATAAAATACTTAAATTTATAAAAAAAACATTTGCTATTGTTATATACTGTAATATTAATTAACTTTAATAATTAACTTTTAAATAATAATATACATGTTATCAAATACGATATGATAATATTATATTTATATGTTTGTCCATCAACTTAAATGTTTTAACTTAAATCTAATGTGAAAATTAAACAAATATTTTGTTATAATTTTTCATATATACAGTATAAACTAGTAAATATTAAAAAAATATAGTAAATGTAAATTATTAATTTGTTTTTATAGAAATGTTTTTTCAATAATCTTGATATACAGTATATAGTATACTATATACTATTTTTTAATTATTGTATAAATTATTTGTACATTTTATACATGTATATATATATATATTATCATTATATGTTTGTTTTATCCTGTTTAAACTACAAATTTTTTTAATTATTTTTTTTATGACAAAATTACCATTAAATGGGTTTCCCCTATATTATGATATTACTGATAATATATATATATATCTAATTAATTATAATATTTCTAAGAAGATATAAATAGTAATAATTGTAATAATAATAATAATAATTATTATTATTATTATTATTGAGTTCAAAAACAAGTTAAAAAAAATTATTGTCGGTAATTATGATTATAATTATGTGCTAATATAATAAAATTTATAATATAATATATAAATGATATGATGTATTGTGTTTATTAATCAAATAGCTATTTAATAAATTATTATCATTATTAATATAATATATTAGAAATAATAAATTAAAGTAAATATTGTTTATATATATATAGATATATTGTTTAACAAAATAAAATCTTGAACTCATCAACAAAATAATATTTAGTTATAATAATAATAATAATACTAATAATTTCAACGTGTATTGTAATGTTAAAAATAATTAATAATTATATATATATTTTTATATCTATATAAATGTATGACTATATATATACAGTATATATATATAAAATAAATTAAATGATGATGATTATTAATTGATAACAATAACTTTTTTTTGGTGATAAATTTAATTGTTTTATTACCAGTGTAAATGTCTAATCAAATAAACCAACAAAATTTTTTTTTATATAAATTAGTTTGTTAGGTAACACTCTCTCTCTTTATTATTATTATTATTATAATATTTATATTTAATTTTTTTTTTGATATTAATATTTAATATCATCAAAAAATATATATATTATATATTAAATAAACAAAAAAAAGTGAGTTTAAAGATAATTAGCTAAAAAAATAATAATAATATTTTTTTTTTGCTTAATATAAAATGTTATAATAATAAGTTATTTTTTTAAATATTGTTGTGTTTTTGTAATTATTTTGTGTTACTATAGTTGGGAAAAAACATTTTTTTTTAGAGAGACATCAAAATAAAGTGAGTTAACAATTGATTTATACATTAAAAATTCAAAATTAAATAATAATTTTTTAAACTATTAGTTTTGATATAAATTTTTTTTTAAAAATATATAATTGTGTTAAACTAATTTTTTTAAAAATATATTAAGCTAGATGAATTAGTTTTTAAATCAATGATTACTATTTTTAGTACTTAATGTGAACAAAAATTATATTTATTTTTTATTAAACTAGATAGATTTAATAGATTTATCTACCTAGATACAATAGATAATTATAACTAATTATTATTACATTTATCAATAATCAAATTGATTACCCAAAAATAATAATAATATAGACTACAAGTTAATGTATCAAAAATTATATGATAACCTTAATGTACTATTTTTTTTGTTGTTGATAAATCAATATTAAATATTATGATAATAATTACATAGATTTTTTGTAAAATTTTTTTCTAATAACTATCAGATTATTGTATATAGTATTGTATAACATTTAAGTACAATTAGTTATAGCTTAGTATCAAAAAAAAATTTTTTTTAGTAATAATATTTCATAATTTACTAATAAAATTATATCATCATATTATTATTAGTGATGTAATTAATTAAATGTATTAATTGATTATAATTTATGATTATTTTTTGTTGAAATTTGTTAAATACACTATGAAGTTAAGTGATAATTAATTAATTTTTTTGCAATTATTGTTTACATATTTTTAATTTAAAACATAGTATTAATAGTTAAGATTTAATGAGATATTATTCAAATGAAAAATAATAGCAATAATATTGCAATATATTTATAAAAATTTTCAGATCAAAGTACAGTACAAATAATAAGACAAATTTTGTACAAATATTTATATATATATATAGGTTGTAATTGAATGATAAATAATTTTCAACTAAATATATATATATAAATATATTTCGTTGACTTTAAAACTGATGTATTAATAAACTAATAATATATTCAATAATATTATTGATATATTTGATAATTTATTTGATATGTACTGTATATTGTTTTTTTTGTTGTTGAACTAATTTAGGTATAAATTTAATATATATATATATATATAATAATAATAATATTATTATTATAAGTATAGTATAGTAATATAAATTTAGATACTGTTTAGGAAATTACAGTATAGATATATATATATATATATATATACTTAATATATAATTTTTATATTATATATATATATATATAAATTGATAGTAAAATCTCAAATCATTGTATATATATATATATATATATATATATTATAGTAAACGACGCCTACAGTAACAGATAGACAGTGTTTTTATTAATTGCTTTAATAATAATAATAAAAAATAAAATAAAAGACAATTAACTCATTAATATTGTGTTTTATTATCATTAAGACATCATTTAATGACAATATTGAATGTATTGTAACAAAATTGTATGATTTGTTTTGTGATACTTTTAATATATACTGTATATATCTGTCTATATATATATTATAAGTTTCACAAAAACAAATCATACAATTTTATGTTTAGTAAATACTATTAAATTTCACTTTTTTATATTATTATTATTATTATTACTATACTACTACTAATATTAATTATTATTATTATTATCATTATAATTATCAAATAAAAGTAATCAAAAGTCGAGAAAAAACATTATTATTTCAGTGATTAATAATAATAATAATAAAAAAATTATATACAGTATATATACTAATAAATTAATTAATTTAACAAAATATATACTTTTAAAAAAATATACTAAAATATTATGTGATTTTTTTTATGAAAAAAAAATTTAGATCATCAGTAACACCAAAAAAAAATTAATTAATTATAATTTGGATTTAATTTTTTCTGTAACTGTGTGTTTGTGTGGTATTTAAATGTCAAATATTTTTTGTTGTGTTGAAAGACAATAACAAAAAATTTTAAAAAAAAATTTAAATAAAAACCACACAAACAAAAAAAACAATGGACTTTACAAAACAAATTGTCAAAAAAAATCCATACGATTCGGCAAACATTGTTAACCGAAATTTTTTCTGGTTTGTAATCATTATTATTATTATTATTATTATTATTATTATTATTATTATTATTATTATTATTATTATTATTATTATTATTATTAATATATATTAAAATTTTGTTATACATTATTGTTATATATATTATTATTATTATTAATACAAATTAAGTTATTATCATATTATAAAATTATATATATATATGTATAAAAAAAAATTTTATCGATCAATGTTGAGAAAGTTTTAAACTATCTCAGACCACATACAACAACAAAAATTTTTTTTTTAATATATAAAATAATAATTATATATGTATTATATGTTAGTGTCATCTATATAATTGTGTGTAAAATTTGTTGTTATTAGATAATTAATTAATAATTTTTTAATTTTTTGGTAAATACTTTTATTATCTATTAAATTATTTTATTTTTTGAAGCACAGGTGGATTAACCCATTCCTCAAACAGGGCTATAGTAATGAACTAAAAGTTAGCGATCTATATAAGTGTCCAAAAGTTGATTCATCTAAAAGATTGGGCGAAAAACTTGAAAAGTAAGTCATAATTTAGTTTTTAATTAATTGTATTTTTTTTTGTTTTGTTTGTTTGATTGTTAAGGTTATCTAAAAAACAAAAATTTTTGTGAGAAAACAAAATTATTAGTAAATTAAAATTATAGTCTAAATTATTTAAGTAATAGACATAATTTTTTTTAAATTGCTAAACGAAAAAATAATAATTACTATAAAAACTAATGGTTTATAACAATATATAATATAAAAGTTTTAAATACTTATTTTTTTCAAAAAAATATTGCTAAATCTTGTAATTTATTTTTAACAAAATAAAATTAGTAATTAATTTTAGTTTTTTTTCATTATTATAAAGTGTTTGTAATTAATGATATTATGTTAATATACTAATGTATTATTTAAAAAATATATTAATAAGATTTAATGTCATCAAAAAAAATTTAAATCATGTAATTAAATGTTTATTATTATTATTATCAATTTAAAAAAAAATATTAATAAACCATTGTATTTTTAAATAATTTATATATATATATAATTACTTAAAAATATTTAATATTAAAGTAAATACCGTTATTAATATCTCTAATATTTCAAATTTTTTTAGTTTAAAATAATCAAAAATCATAGTAATTATGGTAATAATAATTTGTGTATATTTCTAATAATTACTATTAATATAAAATTTTGTTATTTAGATGCTAAATTATATAATATTTTATTTTTTAAATATAAAATAATCTTTATTATATATTTTTTTATTATAAATTTTTATTATATTGTTTGCTATTTACACATTATTAGATGTATTTCAAATTTATAAAAATAACTACAGTTATTTGTTTGTATATATATATATAAATAATTTACAAATAATATTTTAATGATAAATAAATACAGTTATATATAAATAGATTCACATTTTTTAGCTAATATTTGTATTTAAAAAGCAAACATAAAATACTGTATATAAATATATTTATAATTTTTTCTTATTAATAATAATTATTTAAGAAAATTATAGCCCATTTTTTAGCACCACTTATATTAAATTATATGTAAATAACAAAATTATTATTAAATTCACATGAAATACATACTATTTATTAATATATTGTATATAAAAATCTATATAAAAATATACATACAATATATACTGTATATATAATATAATATAAAACTATACTTTTTTTCTTATCATTTAATATCACAAATTGATGCCATTTTTATATTATATATTATATTATATATATATTATTAATACCCTGTAATGAGGTTAAAAACTTCAATTTAAATTTAAGCTAATATACTGTTTAAATATCAATAAACATAGCAATAAACTTTTGCCTTTACTTATTATTATTATTTTTATTATTACTTAAGTATATATATATATAAATTTATATATAAGTTATTGATATAAGATATTACTGTATAATAAAACAAAACAAAACAAAAAATACTTTTAAAAACAAGTATTGTGACAAATATTTTCTTCAAATATAGAAAATAAATATTAAGATAAAAACAATATTATTATTATTATTATTGATTTTTTTTTAAAACAAAATATTATTTTATTATTTGTGGTAAAACTTAACATAATAAATTAATAAATTAAAAATAAAAATTATTGTACAGTATATACAGTATATTTGATGATAGCTATAAATATAAATTTGTCAACAAAAATAACAATAATATAATACAAGTATATATATATATATATATATATATATATATATATATATATTTCAAAATATATTTTATTATAATAATATGTGTGTTTGTAGGGTTCATCAATAGATTGTTAAAAAAAACATATTAAATAAATAACATGAAAACTAATACTGTATTTTCAAAAAAATACTGTAATTTATTTTCAAAAATAATAATAATAATAATAAAAACTAGTTTTTAAATTAAAAAAACAAAATTATTTATTTCTATTTCTATTGTTTTTTTTGTATATGAATTTATTACGAATTATTTTGTATAGTAATACTAATACAACAAAAACAAACCAAAAAAATAATACTAAATATTTCTATAAAAATTTTACCGAAAAAAAATTTAAATAATTAAATTTAATAAAACATTTTAAAACTATATTTATTCACATAATTTTTTTCCAAAAAAAAAACAAAAACAATTATAATAATAATTAAAATCAATTCAATTATTTTATTTTTTATACTATTATTTTATTTTTTATACTTTTATTTTATTTTTTTTATATTTTTATAGGGAATGGGATAATGAGTTGGAAACGGCGTTTCATAAAAAACGTAGACCCAGTCTATTGAGGGCTATTTTACGGGCATTTGGTTTCTGGTATTTTATGTCCGGTTCAATATCCATACTAAATGTAAACACAAAATAAATAATTATTATTTATAATTACAAAAAAACCTAAAATTAAAAAAAACAAATATTTAACTATACCTGCTGTTTACATATTTTTAAAAAATATTTAAATATTTTACCTAGCTTATATAATAATATGTTAGAAAATACCATACAATGTTATCAGGCACAAATAAACTTTTAAAAACTTTAAAAATAAGATTTATTTTATCTAAAATTTTTTTTATTATACAATATATGTATTGAAAATTTTTGTTTGTTTTGATTGTTAGTATTTATAACTATATATATATATTAATTAAAATTAATTGTTAATTAAAAAAAACAATTTAGGTATCGTATAGTCAATTAATAGCTGACAGCTATTAATAACTATTAAAATATTATTATAATTATTATTATTAAAATTTTTACTAATATATATATATTGTGTATATTTATATATATATATATAGGAAGGCATAATTAGGACACTCCAGCCGATAGCTATGGGCTATATGGTCTACTTTATGCAGGCGTACAAACATACACAACATATAAAGGACCCGGATAATGATTTACTTAATAATTATTATATAATGGCCGCAATGATTATACTATTGGGTATTATCTATATACTATGGTATCATCCGTATTTTTTCAAAATGCAACGTAAAGGCATGCAATTGAGGTAAGGGATTATATGTTTGGATGGGTGGGTAGGTGTGTGGGGTGGTTGGGTTTGAGTGGTGGGGGGGGTAGTCCTAAAAAAACATATAATTATATTATAGTAATTTTTCAATTTGATTGATAGATAGATAAAGTATTTTTTTTAATAATAACATTTGTATAAAAAAAACTGTAACTATTTAATTGACAAAATTTTAATATAAATTAAATTAGTTTTTTTAAATTCATTAAACACTAGTGGCCAACAATAAACAGATAAAAATAATAATAATAAATTAATTTTTAAATTTTTGTAAATTTAGTATTTTTTTATAATTTAATTATTACTATTACATTAATTATTGCAGTATAACTATAATTTAATAAACTTCAATAATATATTAATTATTTTTTTTTAGTAATAGTAATAATCAGAAAATATAATATTAAACTAGCAATTAATTGCAAACAAACAAAAAATATTTTTTTAAATATTTTAAATTTTAAAAAACTAGTTATTTTTTTAATACCTCAACTAATATACTATTAAAAAAATTAATTTAATAAACTTCAATAATATATTAATTAATTAATTTATTTATTTATTATAATTTATTTAGTAATAGTAGTAATAGTAATAATCAGAAATTATAATAATATTAAACTAACAATTAATTGCAAACAAACAACAAAAATATTTTTAATATATATATATAAAAATTAGTTATTTATATTACGTTTGTCATACACTATACAACCTCAACCCTAATATATAATTAAAAATTAAAATTAATTAAATAATTAATAAATTAATTAATACTAAATAATAGGATAGCCTGTTGTAATCTGGTCTACAAGAAAGCCCTACGATTGAGCCATAAAGCCCTCGGCCGGACAACTGTCGGCCAAATGGTTAACCTATTGTCCAACGATGTCAACCGTTTTGATAATTCATTTATATTCATACCGTTCATATTTACCGCACCGTTTCAGACAGTTGTCTCATTGGCCTATCTATACTGGGCTGGACTCCAGTGGTCAGTATTAGTCGGCTGTTCCGTACTGGTCGTCTATCTACCGTTTCAGATGTATATGGGACGGCTGTTTTCGCAGTTGCGGTCAAAAACGGCTGTCCTTACGGATGAGAGGATCCGATTGATGAACGAAATTATACCGTCGATGAGAGTCATCAAAATGTATACCTGGGAGAAGCCGTTCGCCAAAATGGTTGAGATTGCCCGGCGCCGGGAGGTCAAGAAAATCAAGTTTACATCGATGCTCAGGGGTGTCAATATGGCATTGTTTTTTGTATCATCAAAAACAATGATTCTGATAACGTTTGTAGTATTTGTTAAGGAAATTGGCCAGATTGAGGCCCAGTTAGTTTTTGTAGCCCTATCCTTGTTGAACAATGTACGGCAAAGTTTGACCCTATTTTTTCCGTACGGTATATCCCAGGGATCGGAAGCACTGATTTCTATTGGCAGAATAGAGGTATATATATATATAGATATTAATATTATTTTATAAATATATATATATAATATCAATTAATATTTAATTTGATTGATATAATATAATTTATTTTTAATTTTTTAAAAATTAATAAAATATTTATTTAGCAATTTTTAAGATATTTAAATTATATATACAGTATATATATATATATTATTATTATTTTATAAATATATATTTAATATCTAACTATATTTTATTTTTTTTAAATTAATAAAATATTTTTTTTTTAATTTTTATGAATTTTTAAGATATATATATATTATTATTATTATTTTATAAATATATGCTTAATATCAATTAATATATTACTATAATTTATTTTTAAATTAATAAAATTATTATTTTAGGAATTTTTAATACTTGAAGAAAAAGAGGTCGAATCGGTTTGTATTGAAAAACAAGATAATACAACCAAAAGTCAAGTAGAAAAAGATACCGGTGTTTGGTTAGACAATATGACCGCCTCCTGGGCAGGGGGTGACCAAACAGAGCCCACTTTGAACAGCATTACGTTTGGTGTCCAACCGGGCGAATTGATTGTAATAGTCGGTAACATAAACCACTAACAAAACATACCTAAAACCTTAAAAATATTTTAATAATAATAATAATAATAATTTATCCGTCCGTCCATCCATTTTATTAGGTCCGGTCGGTTCGGGTAAAAGTTCAATACTGATGAGTATTTTGGCCGAAATACCTGTCCTATCGGGTCATATGAATGTTAACGGCAAAATAGCCTATGCCAGGTAATATATTTTTATACAATTAATTTAATTAATTTTAAACATTTATTTTGTGTATATATATGTTTGTGGACATACCAGTCAACAGGCCTGGTCATTTGCGGGAACCGTTAGAGAAAATGTATTGTTTGGCAGTGAATTCAATGATGAAAAATATAAAAAAGTTTTACATGTCTGTGCCCTTGAAAAAGATTTACAACTATTTCCTAATGGTTTGTAATATAATTATATCCAACCATTAAAAAAAACTATCGATAATTACAACCAACTTAACTAACTAACTAACAGGTGATATGACTATTGTCGGGGAAAGGGGTGTCTCGTTAAGTGGCGGCCAAAAAGCCAGAATCAATTTAGCCCGAGCTCTGTATTGCGATGCAGATGTCTATCTATTGGACGATCCGCTCAGGTATGTTGTGTAAACATAACAAACAAAACTACTATTTTTTAATACCTTTTTTTTTATATATATAACTACCAGTGCTGTCGATGCGGCCGTTTCTAAACATATCTTCGAGAAGTGCATCCGGGGGTATCTGAAAGACAAAGTAGTCCTATTGGTTACCCATCAGTTGCAGTTTATCAGGAATGCCCAACACATACTGGTGCTCAGGGATGGCCATACGGAGGCACTGGGCACCTATCCGGAGCTGGTCAGTGCGGGTATTGATTTCATAAAGATGTCGGGCGACGAAAAACCGGAAACCAAAACGGGAGCCGAGTTGACGACCAGTGGCGGCGATAAGAGTCTATCGAGGAGTGGATCAGTTAGAGGAGGAGGTCAGCCGCGGTCTATATCAATGTCGGGTCAGTCGCATACCGGTGTCGAAGAGGACGATGAGCTACAAAACTATATCGAGGGAGAAAAGGCACAAATCCAAAGAGGAGAGTTTCAGCGGAGTGGGTCGGTCAGGGCGGCTATCTATTGGCTGTATGTCCGATCGGGTAGCAATTGGTTTTGGCTGACCCTGTTGATACTGTCCAATATTGGTACCCAATTGCTATTTACCGGTTCCGAGTATTTCCTATCGTTATGGACCGATATGGAACAGGATGTTATCAATTTTGATTGGGTCCGCCGATTGGACAGCAATTGGATGCTTATTATATTTGCTTTGATGACCGGCGGCCTGTTTCTACTATCGCTAGTGAGGACAACCATTTTTTTCACAATATGTATGCGATCGTCGATTACATTACACAATAGGCTATTCGAGAGTGTCATACGGGCGCCGATAAGTTTTTTCGATAACAACCCAATTGGTGTACTGTTGAACAGGTGTTCCCGCGATTTAGGCCTAATCGATGATATGGTTCCCGCAACGGCTTTCGATGCCGTCGAGATATTTGTCCAATTGTTGGGCGTAATCATTATGAATGCCATCATTGATCCCTATCTACTGATACCGACAGTTATACTGATAGTTATATTTTATTATTTAAGGAAATACTACATAACCAGTGCTCGTAGTGTCAAACGTTTGGAAGGTATTACCCGTAGTCCAGTGTTCTCGCATTTGTCCAATTCGTTGTACGGTTTGTCCACTGTTCGGGCATTCGGTGCCCAGAAATCGTTTGAGAGGAAGTTTGACGACTATCAGGACAGTCATACGTCGTCGTGGTTTCTGTTTATTTGTTCGACCCGTTGGTTCGGTATTTTACTGGACTGGCTTTGTTGGGTATATCTGGCCGCAGTGACCATTACAATGATATTCACGTACGAAACCCGATCGGCCAGCGAAATCGGTCTGATGGTATCGTCGGCCATATCGTTGTCGGGTATGTTTCAGTGGGGTGTCCGCCAGTCGGCCGAACTGGAAAGTCAGATGACATCAGTGGAACGGGTCGACGAATACAGCCATTTAGTAGCCGAACATAATCTGGAGTCGACACCGGACGGTAAACGGCCGCCCAATGATTGGCCGGCCAGAGGTGACATTGATTTCGAGGACGTTAGCCTACAGTATAATCCGGAAGATCCGCCAGTGTTGAGGAATCTGACATTTTCGGTCAAAGGTAACGAAAAGATCGGTATTGTTGGCCGTACCGGTGCCGGTAAGTCGTCAATGATAGCGGCCCTGTTTCGGATGTCACCGCCTTCGGGTATCATCAAAATCGATGGCCTCGACAGTGGATCGATAAGTTTGGCCGATTTGCGTAATAAGTTGTCGATTATACCGCAGGATCCGGTATTGTTTGCCGGACCGGTTCGCCGTAATATCGATCCGTTTAACAATCATACGGATAAACGGTTGTGGGAAGTGCTCGATGAGGTCCGGCTGAAACATGCCGTTACCGAATTGTGTGGCGGCCTGGAGGCCGATATTGCCGAAGGTGGCAGCAATTTTAGTGTAGGCCAGCGGCAGCTGATATGTCTGGCCCGGGCTATACTCAAACAAAATCGGATACTAGTGTTGGACGAGGCGACTGCTAATGTCGATCCCACGTAAGTTATTATATATATATATATATATATACTGTATATATATATATACTGTATATATATATATATATTATATACTGTACTAAACTATTAATACAAAAATATTGACGATTTTTGTTATATATTAGTATTTTAATTGAATTGAATAACAATTATTAATATTAATAATAATTATTATTTTTTATTTTTTTTAATAATTACCCTTAATGTTAATATACAGTATAATTAGTATATTAATAATATTAATATTAAGGATAATTATAACAAATTTTTTAAAATTTTTATGACATTATAAAATTAAAAATATTTATTAAAAACAAATTATTTTTTTGGTATACAATTTGATATACAGTACAAACAAGTCTATGAATAGTGTTTTTTAATACAGTATCAATAGTTAGAAAATTATTATCAATATTTTTAAAAAATATATTAATATTTAAAATTAAATATCATTATTAGTAATATTTTTTTTAATTAATACTTAATAATAATTTTTTATTACTATATTTGATTAACAAACAAACAAAACATTTAATTATTTTCATATGTTATTAAAGTGTAGTAAATAAATTAAAAAAATTATAATTACTGGTAGTCAACAAAAAAAAATTTTAAAAAAATAAAAGTTAAGTTTAATATATATGAAATATATGAAAATAATTAAATGTTTTTTTTAAAAAAATTATTTACTATACTTTAATAACATATTAGTTTTATTTGATATTAATTTGATAAACATTTATATATATATATATACTTTATATGACTTTATATGATTAGTTTAAAAAATTTATACATTAATTTGTACTGTATTATAATTTATAATAGATAAATATTAGATACAAAATAGCTAATGTTAATATTTTACTTATCAATTACTATAAATATATAATATACTGTATTAATTTTTTTCATTATTATTATTATTATTACTAAATAATCATAAATCAAAAAAATAAATTGCAGGTAATTTTGAGACACATAACAAAAAAATTAATAAATTAAAAAACTTTACAAAACAATTATGTTATATATATTATATAATATTATAGATACACTTATATATGTATATATTTAGAAATAATTTTATTTGCATTTTAATTGATAATTAATTTTGTTTTAATTTTCTTTCTATTCAATCAAATCAAATCAATTATTTTTTTAGTACCGATTCACTGATTCAGCAGACAATTAGGGATAAGTTTGCCGACTGTACTGTACTGACTATTGCCCATCGATTGCATACGATTATGGACTCGGATAAGGTACTGGTGCTCGATGCCGGCCGGGTAGTCGAGTATGATGAACCCTATCTATTGTTGCAAAACGATCAGGGACTGTTCACGTCGATGGTCCGGATGACCGGGAAAGGTATGGCCCAGAGTCTGAAAGAGATGGCTAAGATTGCCTACGATGGTAAACATCAGTCGACGACATCATCGACGGCAGTGTCAGCTCCGGGAGACGTACCCTATCATCGATTTCAGATATCCGACATCAAAGAGTCGTTGGCTAAGGAACCGGCAAAACACGACAATATTCCCGAATCGCGGGAGGAATTGGATGAAGGATTACATACGGAAAGTAGTAGTGATAGTAGTAATGGTGGTAATGATGGTAGTGGTAGTGATGGTGCACCAGATAATGGCAGTGCAGACCAAATAATAACAATACCAACAAACAGTGCCAACAATTATAAGTCGACTGTTCTCTAGAAAGAGAGAGAGAGAGAGAGAAAGAGAGAAAAAAATAAACCAAAAATTTATTTTTCTATTATTCAATCAATAGTTAGAATTATATAAATATATGTTTTTTGTGTTTATTTTTTTAATAGACTAGTATTTTGATAGCTTTGATAGTTATTTAATTAATTTAATTTTTTTTTATATTACAATAATAAACAAAATAATACCAAAAAATAAGTTTATAAATATAATAATAATCATATCATTTGATTTAAATATACTGTTTTTTTATTATATGTAAACACTTACTCATCAGTTATGCTAAGATTTTCATTATCATCACTGATATTAATAATAATAATAATAATAACACAAAATGAAAAAAAACATAAAAAATTAATTATCAATTTTTGTTTGTGTAATAAAGTAAAATATATTAGATATTAATATTTATATGATGTAACAAATATAGTAATATTATTTTTAAAATCTTTAAATTTTAAAAAAAAATTTTAAAATATTTCAGCTATAGATTTAATATATTTTTTATTTTATATGAAACAAATTAATTATTATATATTTTATAATTAAATTTAAATTGGATATAATAATAATATTATTTTTAAAGATTAAACAAATAATAATTATAATTTTTAAAAAAAAAACTTTTTTTTTTTACTATTATGATTAATATGACTAATAATTATCAATAAACAATTTTTATTTATTTCAAATATTTTATTGATTAATTGCAGTTTAAAAAAAATAAATATTATTTACTAGTATTAATATGAAATATACATTAAAAAAACTATTATATCTACTAAAAAAACAAAATAATCAAAGTTTTATTTATTATTAATTAATTAATAATATAGTAATAAGTTTTAGTTGTTTTTTGTTTGTTTCTATAAATTGTATTATTTTTTTGCAAATAATTATTTAGTTTAAAACATTAGTTGCAATAATACGATAAACATTATCCGATTCCTGGCCTTCAATAGCAACAAACACTTGACGACGGGTATTATGGCCGGGTATGTGAATATGATCGGCAAACTGGCCATCATTGACAGCTGATGATGGATAGTGACTCTGGTATGCAAAGTAACCGATAAGTTTACCTTTAATTGTTTGGACAGTCAGATCTAAACCACCAGTTTTGGGTAAATCCAATATATAGTATCGTTTTTCACGTTTGACTGTCGAGTCGTCTAATTTTTGGCCAACAATTAGTTTCAATCGTTCAGTACATAAGGATTTTTTGAATGCAAATAACTCTGATTTTAATGAACTAAATTTAGTTAATTGTTGGACATTTACGGGTAAATTGTAGGCAATTTCCAATAGTTCTTTAGCATCAACACCGGGACCTACACCCCAAACCAGACTCTTGATCCCAGCCTTCTGGGCATTGGTTACGGCCGGCTGTACCCCGTCGTTGGACTGGCCATCAGTTAATACAAACATTGTCTTATAGGGCAATGTTTGGCCGGACTTCATAATATCGACTGCTGTCTGTATACCGTCCCGAGTGTTGGTACCGCCACGGGGTTGTCTAAGTGTCCGAATTTTATCCAATCTATTTGTCTTAGATTTCTCAGTATAATCATAGATAGTTTGGACATTAGATGAATATAATATTAGTGAAAAATTTCCATTTTTTGAACCAATTTTATCGGTAACCTTATAGAGGAAATCTTTGGCCATTTGAAAATCATTGGGCGCTATACTACCCGATCCGTCCAATACGTAGCATAGATTGATATGCGGCGAACATTCGTATAGATCCTCCAATTGGTTGACTTTTTGGATAAACTGTTGGACATTACCCCTGTGTTTATAATATCGTTTCCAATACATAGCCTGTTCTTCAATTGTTTTCGGTATCGACTGATTAGTTAAATGCAGAAACATTTTCGTAGCCAATGCCTCATATAATGGTGTTTTCATATCTGTTATATCCAATCGTTGCCAATCGATATCATATTTATCCGCCAATTCATAGTAAATCTCCAATAATTCGTGATGTCGTTCAAAATCTTGTGTTTTCAGAAATTTTTTCCTATCTATTGACCAAATATTTTGCGACCGATCGGCAAAATTTGGTGGATTTTCACCGAAATTACTTTCGACTAATGCCAGCCTAAATAGGAAACCCAGATCATCGGCAAACAATTTGATCTGGTTCACTTTGGCAATGGTAGCATCGACTACATCCTGGCCATTGGATCGGGGTACCAGGGTCAAGTCAATTGAATCGCAATTTATTAGACTAATATAAAATATTAGCAATAGTATTGAATACATTTTCAACAATTAATAATAAAAATACAATTTATATTTTTGTAATAAACTTAAAGCTAACAAATTTCAAAATGCTTTTAAAATTTTGTTATAAATTTAAACCGTTTATATATACTATTTATACAGTATATTGTATATGTATTGATATATTTATATCATATTACACATACAATAGTAATATTTTTATTTTTTGTTTTGATATACAATTATTTTATAATAACAATTTATTTTTCCACTCATCCAATAAAATCAATAATTTATTAGTTTATATAAAAATACATTTATCTGTCTATTTTTTTTTGCTTATGTTATTAGTATATAGTATTGATATTTAGTTATCATTTGTTTTTTTTGTGACTATTTTTATTGAAATTTTTATAATAATGAAATATCAGCCGAAAAAATAACTGATAATAATTATATATTTTTTTTATTGATGTAATAGATTAAAAATATGTTATATATTTATATGCTAATTATATAAATATATTAAATATATGCTGAAATAATTATATATATAACTTATTTAAAGTTTAGTATAACTATTGACTCTTAAAAAAAAAAGTTTCAAACAATTTTTTAAATATATATATATATATATATATTAAATGTATAAATAATTTTGAATAATTTGAAACTTCAAAAAAATAATAATAAGTAAACAAATGAAATACTTTAAAATACTTTAAATTTTTTTATAATTATTTAATAATATTTAAAATAGATATTAAAAAGATGTTTTTCTTATATTTTTAATCTAATTTTTTTTTTGAATGAAATAACAGTCGAAAAATTATTAATAATAATTAAAATAATAATAATAATATCATAATAACACACACAAAATGAAAAATTATCAATTTTTGTTGATTTAATAAATTAAAAATATACTCCATATTTATATGATGTAACAAATATAGTAATATTATTTTTATTTTATTTTTAAAAAAAATAAAATATTTCATCAATAGATTTAATAGATTTTTTTTTATAAAAATTTTAAACAAATTACTTATTAGATATTATTAGATTACTTATTATTAAAAAACATTGTTTTTATATAATTACTTATTTATTGAGTCAATAGTTATTCTAAACTTTAAATAAGTTTACATTTTTTTTTTTAATTATAAATATAAAATAAATTATTTCAACATTAGTTGGCAATAATAACTGTCAAAAAACTGTTGTGTCAATTATGTTGTGAAACATTGAAACACTGTTTTATTGGCCAACTATTTGATCGATACGATAGTCAAACAGCAACAAAAAAATAAACGATATTATATATTGGATTTACCGACAAATGGTTTAGGACCTAACTGTCCAAACAATTTAAAGGTAAACTTTTCGGTTACTATGCATACATGAGCTAACTATCCATCATCAGCTGTCAATGATGGCCAGTTTGCCGATCATATTCACATACCCGGCCATAATACCCGTCGCCAAGTGTTTGTTGCTATTGATGGCCAGGAAACAGATAACGTTTATCGTATTATTGCAACTAATTTTTTAAACTAAATAATTATTTTCAAAAAAAATACAATGAATAGAAATTAAAAATAAAATAACTGAAACTTATTATTACATTATTAATAAATTATTTTGTTTTATTAGTAAAGTTAATAGTTTTTTATGTAATGCAATATTTCATAATAATAATAATACTAATAAAGATAATTTTTTTTAAACTGCAATTAATCAATAAAATAATTGAAATAAATAAAAATTATTTATTGATAATTATAAGTTATTAATCATAATACTAATAAAAAAATTATTTATAGTTATGATTTGTTTAATCTTGAAAATAATAATATTATTATTACATTAAATTTAAATTAAAATTATAAAAAATAATTTAATAAAAAATTTATAAAAATAACTATTAAATCTATAGCTAAGATATTATTTTTTTAAAAAATAATATTACTCTAATATATTTGTTACATCATAAAAATTTGTAGCATATTTTAATTTATTACACCAACAAAAATTGATAATTAATACTAATAATAATAATAATAATAATAATAATAATAACTTAATTAAGTAGTAATAATTTTCAATAGTATTTTTTTTATATAAGTTTTATATTTCTATAATTTAGTTTAAAACATTAGTTGCAATAATACGATAAACATTATCTGATTTTTGGGCTTCAATGGCAACAAACACTTGACGTCGGAGATTATGGCCGGGTATGTGAATATGATCGGCAAACTGGCCATCATTGACAGCTGCCGATGGATAGTGACTATGGTATGCATAGTAACCGATAAGTTTACCTCTAATTGTTTGGACAGTTAGATCTAAACCATCAGTTTCGGGTAAATCCAATATATAGTATCGTTTTTCCTGTTTGACTGTCGAGTCCGTCAAATATTTGACCAGAAATTAGTTTCAATGGTTCCGTACATAAAGTTTTTTTTTGAATGAAAACATTTCCGACTGTAATGAACTAAATTTAGTTAATTGTTTGACATTTTTCGGCAGAATTGTAGGCAATTTCCAACAATTCGGTGACCATAACATCAGGACCGACACCCCATACCATAGTTTTGATACCCGCCAACTGGGCATTACTGACAGCCGGTTGAACACCGGGCGGATGGTTAGACTGGCCGTCAGTCAATACAAACATTGTCTTATAGGGCAGTAGTTCGGTGCCGGCGGTTGACTGCATAATGTCTACCGATTGTTGAATACCGCCACTAGTGTTGGTCCAACCCCTTGGATATACAACTGTTTTAATCCGATCCAATCGATTAGTTTTATCAGTTTCCCGAAAATCATAGATAGTTTGGGCATCGGTTGAAAATAATACTAAACAAAAATTTCCGTTCAATGAACTGATTTTATCGGTAACATCGTATAGAAATTGTTTAGCCAATTGAAAATCATTGGCCGCTATACTACCCGAACCGTCCAATACATAGCATAGATTAATATGTGGCGAACATTCGTATAGATCCTCCAATTGATTGACTTTTCGGATAAACTGTTGGACATTACCTATGGGTGTGTATAGTGTTGACAACAACAAAAAATAAAGTGAGAAAATTTATAAAAATAATAAAGAAAATTTCTAGAAAGTTTATTTTATAGAAATTTCTATTTATGGGATCCCCCCCCCACATGGTTAATTTTGTTTTCTTAGGGAAATTTTATAGAAACTTTCTCATGGAAATGTATTAGTAACTTTCTTAGGGAACTTTACTAGAAACTTTTAAAAAGGAAAATTATCTAGAATCTTTCTTAGGGAACTTTACTAGAAACTTTTTTAGAGAATTTTACTAGAAACTTTTTTAGGGAAATTTTATAGAAACTTTTTCAGGAAAATTTATTAGAAACTTTCTCATGGAAATGTATTAGAAACTATTTTAGGGAAATTTTCTAGAATCTTTCTTAGGGAACTTTACTAGAAACTTTTTTAGGGAAATTTTGTAGAAACTTTTTTAGGGAACTTAACTAGAAACTTTCTTAGGAAAACTTTCTAGAAACTTTTTCAGGGAAATTACTAATTGATGGACTTTTCGGATAAACAGTTTTCGGACATTACATTACAGAGAGAGAGAGAGAGAGAGARAGAGAGAGAGAGAGAGAGAGAGAGAGAGAGAGAGAGAGAGAGAGAGAGAGAGAGAGAGAGAGAGARAGAGAGAGAGAGAGAGAGAGAGAGAGAGAGAGAGAGAGAGAGAGAGAGAGAGAGAGAGAGAGAGTGAAAGAGAGTGATAGAGAGAGAGAGAGAGAGAGAGAGAGAGAGAGAGAGAGAGAGAGAGAGAGAGAGAGAGAGAGAGAGAGARAGAGAGAGAGAGAAAGAGAGAGAGAAAGAGAGTGAAAGAGAGTGATAGAGAGTGATAGAGAGAGAGAAAAAGAGAGAGAGAGAGAGAAAGAGAGAGAGAAAGAGAGAGAGAGAGAGAGAAAGAGAGAGAGAGAGAGAGAAAGAGAGAGAAAGAGAGTGATAGAGAGAGAGAAAAAGAGAGAGAAAAAGAGAGAGAGAGAGAGAGAAGAGAGAGAGAGAGAGAGAGAGAGAGAGAGAGAGAGAGAGAGAGAGAGAGAGAGAGAGAGAGAGAGAGAGAGAGAGAGAGAGAGAGAGAGAGARAGAGAGAGAGAGAGAGAAAGAGAGAGAGAGAGAGAGAAAGAGAGAGAGAGAGAGAAAGAGATTAGGCGTGGTTCACATATTACGTTAGCGTTTGAGGCGAGGGGGGGTTAGCCAAAGCGAACTTTTGCAAACGATGGGGAGGGGAGGGGTAGAGACTTTAAGAACGTTCGCATTTAGATAATATCTTATATCTTATGGTGGGGGGGATAGCGGTTAGGGTTAAGCGAACGTATTAATCATTTTTAAATGACTACATGCGAACAATTGCGAACATAGGGGAGGGAGGGGGTCTAGATTTCTTAAAAAGTGCGAACGTAAAATGTGAACGACGCCTTATAAGATAATTGTATAGGAAATTCAGATTATTAGTGTATAAATATAAATACATATAAAATATCAATTGAAAATTTTTTAGTATAAGTAAATTTATAACATTTTAAATTTTAAGCTAATTTAAGTTTATATAACAGTAAATATAAAAATATATACAATATATATATATAATTATTATTGTTAAAAAATGTATTCAATATTTTTGCTAATATTTAGCCAATTATTTTATATGAGTATAGTTAATTGCGATCCAATTGATTTAACCCTGGTACCCCGGATCAAATGGCCAGGATGTAGTGGATGCTACCATTGCCAAAGTGAACCAGATCAAATTGTTTGCCGATGATATGGGTTTCCTATTTAGGCTGGGATTCGGTGAAAATCCGCCCAATTTTGCCGATCGGTCGCAAAATATTTGGTCAATAGATAGGAAAAAATTTAGGAAAACACAAGATTTTGAACGACATCACGAATTGTTGGAGATTTACTATGAATTGGCGGATAAATATGATATCGATTGGCAACGATTGGATATATCCGATATGAAAACACCATTATATGAGGCATTGGCTACGAAAATGTTCATACATTTGACTAATCAGTCGATACCGAAAACAATTGAAGAACAGGCTATGTATTGGAAACAACATTATAAAACAGGAGGTAATGTCCAGAAATTTATCGCAAAAGTCAACCAATTGGAGGATCTATACGAATGTTCGCCGCATATTAATCTATGCTATGTTTTGGACGGTTCGGGTAGTATTCATCCATTAGATTATCAAATGGCTAAACAATTTCTATACAATGTTACCGATAAAATTAGTTCAGAAAACGGACAGTTTTGTTTAGTATTATTTTCATCCGATGCCCAAACTATCTATGATTTTCAGGAAACTGATAAAACTAATCGATTGGATCGGATTAAAATGCTTATACATCCGCGCGATATGACCAACACTAGCGGCGGTATTCAACAAGCGGTCAACATTTTAGAGTCCACCCAAACAACACTGCCCTATAAGACAATGTTTATATTGACTGACGGCGAGTCTAACTATCCTCGAGGTGTCCAACCGGCTGTCAGTAATGCCCAGAAAGCCGGTATCAAGAGTTGGGTTTGGGGTGTAGGACCTGATGTTAAGGTTACGGAATTGTTGGAAATTGCCTACAATTCAGCCGAAAAATGTCAAACAATTAACTAAATTTAGTTCATTAAAATCCGAATTATTTGCATTCAAAAAAAACTTTATGTACGGAACCATTGAAACTAATTTCTGGTCAAATATTTGACGGTTCGACAGTCAAACTGGAAAAACGATACTATATATTGGATTTACCCAAAACTGGTGGTTTAGATCTAACTGTCCAAACAATTAAGGGTAAACTTTTCGGTTACTATGCATACCATAGTCACTATCCATCATCAGCTGTCAATGATGGCCAGTTTACTCATTTTATTCACATACCCGGCCATAATACCCGTCGCCAAGTGTTTGTTGCTATTGAAGGCCAAGAATCAGATAACGTTTATCGTATTATTGCAACTAATGTTTAAATTTAATAATTATTTTGAAAATTGTATAATTTATCCAAAAAAATATAATAACTGAAACTTATTACTACATAATTAATAAAAATAAATAAATAAAACTTTTATTGTTTTATCTATTTTTTATGTTTTTAGATATAGTTTTTTATATATATTTCAAAATAATAATAATATATTTTTTTTAAAACTTCAATTAATTAATAAAGTATTTATTTTATTTTATTTTTGAATAATTATTAATCAGATTACTAAAAAAAAGTTTTAATTATTATGATTTTTGTTTATTTTATAAAATGAAATTTTTATAAGTTTAATATAATGGCATAACCTATGAGAATATATTTAGATAAATAATATTATATTATTTGATTATTATTACTATTATTATTAACTTATGTTTAATTAAAATATTTAATAATAATAATATAAATTATATATAGAAAACAAAGAAATAAATATGGAATTCTATACATAATTTATACATAATATAATTTACATAATTATATTAAATAAATTCAAATTCAATTAATAAGCATTTAAGATAAATATTAGTAAATATATATATTTTAAAAATAAATTATTATCCTATATCTATATAAGTAAGTGTATAAAACAATATACAAATTTTTCTATTATAATTTTTATATATAATAAATAATTTATATTAAAAAAAAAATCATAATTAAATCAATATCTAAAATATATATATAAAAACAAATAATTTATATTTAAAAAATCATAATTAAATCTATAGCAAAAATATATATATAAAAACAAATAATTTAATATTGATTTTAATAATTTATTTGTTATTTAATATATAAATAAACTAAGTAAGCAATTTTTTAAAATTATACTTTTATTCTAACTTATGTAGTACTATATATATATATATACCATTGATTATGAAACGATATTTAAATTTTAATTATTATATTGTACTAAAAAATTATTTTAATAAATATTTTTTTATATTTATAATTAAACAAAATAATAATAATAATAATAAAAAACTAATAGATTTATTTAGTCATTATTTTTTTTAAAAAATATTTTAAATGTACATTTTAAAAAAATATATTATTAATATCTTTAAAAAATCACTATTTACATTTATATATTCAAATGTATTTCTTCTTGATAACTTTCATAACTATATCTACAATAGATTTTGAAACGATTTTTTTATATTTAAGTTTATTATGAAAAAAATAATATCATTATTAGATTAAAAAAATTAGTAGCTAAGCAACTATTTAAAATTATATTTATTAAAATATTTCTAATAAATTTTATAAATATACAATATAATTATTATAATATAATTCAAATAATAATTTTCAAAATTTTTTTCAATAATATATAATAATATTTAAAAAAATTATTTATTATATTGTACTAACAAATTAATACTAATTATTATTTTTAATATTTTTAATTTAATTAATAAATAGAAAAATAATAATAAATTTCAATAGATTTATTTATTCAATTTTTTCAAAATTGTTAAAGGTAATTATTTAAATAATTATAATAATAATAATAATATAAATATTATTATCTAAAAAATACTAAAACTAATTATATTTATATATCCAAATGTATTTTTTCAAAAGTATTATCACAGCTAGTGATGCCATTTATTATGAAACGATAACTTCTATGAGGAGTCAAATTTTTTACTTTATTTCTTATTGATCCATAATTTCTATACAACTGCTTATACAAACGTTTATCAAGAATTTTATCAATTTTATTAAACTCGTCAATGGGTTTATCAAATAGTTGTTTAAAATTAGTTTCAATAAATGCATCAACCAATAATATTAGTTTATCCAGTTTAAATTTCAAAGACAATTGACCAATTAATTCAAAATTATCCATTGTTACATTTAATTCTAATTTTTTAAGTTCATCGGTTAAATCGTCCATTGAATAATCAATTGCCAATTGACAGTTAGTTTCTAGATTTTCACTAGTTATCAATGGTATTAGATGTCTAATTAAACGATTGCGCAATCGTTGCAATAGATATCGATGAGACAATTTCAATATATCGTGAATATGATCAACGTTTACCTCATCATTATTATCGTTGTTATTATTATTAAATATCAATCGATCCGTATATAAGAAGCCGATCAATACTTTCAATGCCGAAACTGTTGTATAATCGATAGGAATGTTTTTTGATTGTATTTTCCAACCAATTGTTTGAAAACATTGATCTAAAATCAAAGACTTTTCAAATAGAGTACAGACTTTATTGCCGGTATTTCTTCGCCGTCGCAAACAAATGTTATATCACTTTCCCCTGAATTTAACCACAAATCCAATTCGGGATATAATTCTTTATCCGTTTGATTGGCGTTTAACTAACATTTTTTTATAAAAAATAAAATTCATAATATTTTTAGATTAATTCTTTAATTTGAATTTTTTTTACCACACTATCAATTTTGGCCATAATTTTTTAGAATTTTTAGTACTCTTAGAAAGTTTTTAACTAAAAACAATAATTTTTACTATTAATAAAAATTATTTAATTAAAAAACAATAATTTTTAATATTATTAAAAAATTATTTAACTACAAAACAATAATTTTTAGTATTATTAAAAATTATTTAACAAAAAAATCAATAATTTTTATTTCATTAATTAACTTTAATAATACTTTATACAAATTAAAAGTAAAAATTATAAAATATAAACATATAAAATATATTTTTTTTTGTTTTAAGTGTTTATTAAGATAATTATTTATCTTAAAAAATACAGTTACAGATAATATAAATAATTTTTATTTCAATCATTTCGTAGAAATATTTTTTTAAACGCATTTAACGCAAATTATAAAACAGCATAAAATGTTTTATTCATATTTTATTTATCTATTATATTAAGTTTATTATGAAAAAAATCAAATAATTTCATTATTAGATAATATAAACGATTAGTAGCTAAGTAACAAACTATTTTTTTTTGATTATACTAGAAATATATTTAATCAATTTTATAAATGTTATAAAATATAATTATTATAATATAATTCAAATAATAATTTTCAAAATATATTTCAAAAATTTTGTAACTTCATTTATTATAATAATTTAATTGAAAAAGTAAATTTTCTATTTATTAGATTGTACTAATATTTATTTTAACTATATTTTAACAAATAATAATAATAAAAAAAAATTAATAATTAATAGATTTAAAATTTTATTTAATTAATAATTTAGAAAACTGTTAAATGTAATTGATTTACTTGGTTTAAAAAAATTATTAATTATAATTATTCAAATAGTTTTAATTGTAATAGTAATAATAAAAATATATTTTAAAAACTGCAATTAATCAATAAATTATTTATTGTAAAATAATTTTTTAAATAATTAATAATAATTAATAAGATTACTAATATAAAAACAGTTTAATTTTTAAGGATCCTTGTTTATTATATAAATTAGATATTTTTTTAATAAAATTAATATAATGACATAACCGATGAAAATATTTTTAATTCAATAATATTATATAATATTATATAATTGTTATTATTATTATTATTATTATTAACTAATATTTAACTAAAATATTTAATAATAATAATAATAATAATATAAATTATATATAGAAAACAAAAAATAACTATGAAATTTATTACTACATAATTAAATTAAATTAAATAAATAAATTTAAATTCAATTAATAAACATTTATAATAAATATGATATTAGTTAATATATTATATAATTTTTTAAAGTACATTATTATCTAATATCTTTATGTGATAAGTTAGTGTATAAAACAATGTATAAATTTATCTATTATAATTTTTATATAATAAATAATCTATATTAAAAAATTATAAATTAAATCTATAGCAAAAATATATATTAATAAAATTATTACTAATTGAAGTATTTGATAAAATTTTATTTTTTTAAGTATTTACTAAATTACAAGTGTTTTTTCCTAATATATAGTTATTACTTAATTGTTGGATAAAATTGAAAACAGAAAAGTATTAATCAAAACTTTATTATCAAATATATAATTATAATTTTATCAATAAAAAAGTGAAATGCAAAATATAATATATATATATAACCTATATATATATATATATTAATATATGTAACCTATTTATTATGAATAAACTATAATTATTTTAAACTTAAGTTTTTTCTGATAGTTTAATAAATATAATTAATTAAATTGTATTTTTTTAGAAAAATAGATTTTAGATTCAAAGTTAAGATTACTATTATTGAGGAATATATATATATATAATTTTATTATAACTAATATCAGTTAATCTTAATTAGTTTAATAGTGTACAAAAATTATTTTTATTATTAATAATATATATAAAAAAAAAAAAAATGAAATCAATATTATTGCTAATATTTATCCAATTATTTTATAATAATAATATTATTAATTGCGATCCAATTGATTTAACCTTGGTACCCAAATCAATTGGCCAGGATGTAGTGGATGCTAGTATTGCCAAAGTGAACCAGATCAAATTGTTTGCCGATGATTCAGGTTTTCTATTTAGGCTGGCATTAGTTGAATCAAATTTCGGTGAAAATCCCCGAACATTTAACGCCACAACTAATAACGGGCCAAATATCTGGTCAGTCGATGGACAGAAATTTTCGGAAACCCAAGATATTGTCAAACATGAGAATCTGCTATTGATTTACTATGAATTGGCCGAAAAATATGATATCGATTGGCAACGATTGGATTTAGACGATATGCAGATACCATTGTACGGAGCATTGGCTACGAAAATGTTTCTACATTTAACCAATCAGTCGATACCGAAAACAATTGATGACCAGGCTCAGTTTTGGAAACAACATTATACACCTACAGGTAATGATGGGACAAATTTCTAGAAAATTTCTCGTAGAATAAATTTCTATAGAAATTTAACATTATTGTTTTATTATGGGATCCCCTCTATCCTCTCCCCATATCTATAGCTATTGTAATACTATAAATATATTAATGAGACACATAATACTAATACTAGTATAATATTATACTATCATATATTATGTAGATTATTGTATAATACTATTATACAAATTGGATACCTATATTAATAATTTAATATTTATTTAATAATAATAATCAGTTTTGTAAAAATTTTATTCATCATTTTATTATATCTAGGGTTAGATCAGATTCCCTCCCTCGTCTTATTATCCATAAGTTCCTTATATTTCCTATTCCCTGGGAATTCCCTGGGAAAACATTTCCTTGTGGTACCACCTATCGTACCCTAACTCACTACATAATGTTTAATTAAAAACACGTTTGTATAGTAAATGTCTACAAAATGTATTTAATGTTTTTACTAAATGTTTAATATTATTTGAATCACAATTTGATTGTGTTATTACTAACATAATAGTCCTAATTGAAACACATAGTCATTGAGATTAGGTACTTTTTAATGTATGACAAATTATATTTTCCCTTTCTAACGATCAAGGGAGGGAATATAATATATTTTCCATATTTTCCGGGAAAATTGGAGGGATTTTATTTGGGAACTTCCCTCCCTGGGAATCTCAATCTAACCCTAATTATATCATAGTTTAATATAATTAAATTAATTAATTTTTTATTTTTAATTAATAATTAATAATTAAAATACTGATAATATAATATTTTAATTATTACTTGTAAAAACAATGTTAACGATAACAAATATCCAGAGAGAGAGAGAGAAAAAAAACAAAATTAACCATGGGGGGGGAGGGTTCCCATAAATAGAAATTTCTTTAACAGAAACTTTCTAGAAATTTTATTTATAATTTTATAAATTTTTCTCCTATTTTTTTTATCAATCACTACCTACAGGTGATGTCCAACTGTTTGTCAAATCAGTTCAACAATTAGAAGATCTATACGAATGTTCGCCGCATATTAATCTATGCTACGTATTGGACGGTTCGGGTAGTATAGCGCCCAATGATTTTCAAATGGCCAAAGATTTCCTCTATAAGGTTACCGATAAAATTAGTTCAGAAAACGGAAATTTTTGTTTAGTATTATTTTCGGATGACGCCAACAAAATCTATGATTATACCGAAAAAACTAAATCAAATAAATTGGATAAAATTCGGACACTTAGCCAACCCCGGGGTGGTACTAATACACGGGACGGTATACAGACAACAGTCGACATTATGAAGTCGCGGCCGACATTGCCCTATAAGACAATGTTTGTATTAACTGATGGCCAGTCCAACGATGGGGTACAGCCGGCTGTAACCAATGCCCAGTCGGCGGGTATTAAGAGTCTGGTTTGGGGTGTCGGTCCCGGTGTTAATCTGAAGGAACTGTTGGAAATTGCCTACAATTTACCGGTAAATGTCCAACAATTAACTAAATTTAGTTCATTACAATCGGAATTGTTTGCCTTCAAAAAAACTGTTTGTTCGGAGGCATTGAAACTAGAAACGGGTCAACAATTTTCGGATACAACTGTTAAACATGAAAAACGTTTATATATTTTTGATTTACCCAAAACTGGTGGCAACGGTATTAATCTAACGATTCAGACAACTAAAGGCAAATTATTAGGTTATTATGCCTATAGTACACCGCATCCATCATCGGCTGTCAATGATGGCCAGTTTGCCGATCATATTCACATACCCGGCCAACCACAACATAGTCAAGTATATGTTGCCATTGTTGGCCAGGAATCAGATAATGCCTACAATATTATTGCAACTAATGTTTAAACTATAAAATAATTATTGAAAATAAAACTTATTGACAAAAAAAAACTACTGAAAATTATTACTACATAATTAAGAAGAAATAAATAAATAAAACTTTTTAGTAATATAATGTATTATTAGATTTTCAATACTATATACTGTATATTATTCTATAGTATATTATTATAAATAATAATTATTAATTAACAATATTGTTTTAAAATTTTTAATAATCTGATTAGTAATTAATAATTAATGTTAAAAGTTATAAAATAAAATTAATGATGAAATGATTATCTTTATTATTACACATTGCATACAATTAACAAATAAGAAAATAATTAATTAAATTTTATTATATATTTTTATTATAACTTTCATAATTATTAAATACAACATTTTAATTTCACTTTCATATAATAAAAAAGTTATCATTAATTTTTTGAAAATGAAATAACAACTATAAATGATAAATATTAAATACTAAATATGATTTGGTTTATAATAGGTTATAATAATATTATTGCTGTCTATAAACATTAATTATTTTAATGTATTTTATTTTATTTAAAAAAATATATTATATTAACAATAATAATAATAAAAATTAAATATAATTAATTTATATTATTATCATTATTATTATGTCTTTTATTATATTTTTGGTTGTTATCACTAATTATCAATTCGGCTGTTTTGATGAGTTTTTATTATATATAAAAGTGAAATTAAAATTTAATTTTTAAATATATATTATGAAAGTTATAATATATATATATTGTTTTCTATGTATTTTATAATAATAACTAATTAAATTTTAGTTAATTAAAGATATAATTTTTTTAGATAAAACATATATTGTTAACAAAATTGATATTTAAGTTTAATTGCATAACTTTGAGTTATAATAATTTCGCATCTCACTTTTTTAAAAATAAATAAATATAACATCTTATATTTTATAATTAATATTACTTTACAATTAAAACTATACAAACATAATAATAAAATAATGACCCAATAATGTTATAATTTTACAAAATATAATATTGTATTATTAGATTTAATAGATTTATTTTTATTATTTTTAGATAATAGTATGTTATTTTTTAAACAATTATATTTTACAAAAAAAATTATTTTAATCTTGCTTATTTTATTGTTAAAATAAATATAATTTTGTTTTCATTATCTCTATTGTTAAATAAATTTTAAGCAAAAATTATATTCTAGTAAAAAAAATTAATTTTACAAAAATATATTTATTTATTTAAATTATCTAATAATAAATTTCGATAATTTTTTTTTTAATTATTATTAATTATTTTTTTTTTAAATATAAGTTGGAGTAATACTATAAACATTATTCGGGCCCTGGCCTACTATAGTAACATAGACTTGACTATGTTGTTGTTGGCCGGGTATGTTATACGGATTAGTATCTAACTGGCCATCATTGACAGCTGATGATGGATTTGGAGTACTATAGGCATAATAACCCAATGTATTGCCATTAGTTAGTTGTATCGTTAGGCTTATAGCACCTGTTTTCGGTAAATCAATACTAAAGTATCGTTTTTCATTTTGAACACTCGTGTCATCAAATTTTTGGCCATCAATTAGATGTATGATTTCGTCGCATAAAGTTTTTTTAAATTCATATAAATAACTATCCATTGAACTGTATTTAGTTAGTTGTTTGACATTATCGGGTATATTGTATGCAATTTCATTCAATTCCTTATCCTTAACACCATCACCTATACCCCAAACCCAACTTTTGATATGGGCTTTCTGGGCATTACTTACGGCTGGTTGTACCCCATCATCGGAGTAGCCGTCAGTCAATACAAACATTGTCTTATAAGGTACCTGGTTTATGGATGTCTCCATAATATCAACTGTTTTTTGAATACCGGCTCTAGTGTTTGTACTCATATCCGGTTGTATAAGATCTTTAATTTTATTCAATCTTTTAGTTTTATCAGTTACCGTAAAATCATAGATAGTTTGGGCATCGGATGAAAATAATACTAAACAAAACTGTCCGTTTTCTGAACTAATTTTATCGGTAACATTGTATAGAAATTGTTTAGCCAATTGAAAATCGGATGAACCAATACTACCGGAGCCGTCTAATACATAACATAGACTAATATGTGGCGAACATTCGTATAGATCTTCTAGTTTGTGGACTTCCTGAACGAATGTGTCCGCATCAACATTACCGTCACCGATGGCTGTATAATGTTGTTTCCAATATTGAGCCTGGTCATCGATTGTTTCGGGTATAGGCTGTCCATTTAAATGCAGAAACATTTTTGAAGCCAATGCCGAATACAATGGTCGTTGCATATCATATATATCCAATCGTTGCCAATCGATATCATACTTATCGGCCAAATCGTAGTATAACTGTAACAATTCCGGATGTTTTTGAATATCTTTAGTTTCCCGAAATTTCTGGCTATCTATTGACCAGATATTTGGCGATTTGTTAGTTTGATCGGCAAATGTTTGTGGATTTTCACCGAATTTTGATTCAACTAATGCCAGCCGAAATAGAAAACCTGAGTCATCGGCAAACAATTTGATCTGGTTCACTTTGGCAATACTAGCCTCGACTACATCCTGGCCAATTGATCCGGGTACCATGGTTAAATCTAATGGATCGCAATATATTATACTAATATAAAATAATTGACAAAATATTAGCAAAAATATTGACTTCATTTTCAATAATTATATTTTTATTATATTTTATTTGGTTATAAATTAATTTAGCTTTTTATAAAAAAAAATTGAAATCATATAAAATTAGTTATAATAAAAAGTTTATATATAACTTATATATATATATAGTCATAACAATAGTGTAATCTTTTTCAAACATATAATAAAAACTTTTTCATTGAGTATATTTTATTAGTTATTATTATAATAACATATATATATATATTATAAAATAAAATCTTTATTAATTTATAATTAAATCTATAATTTTTGTAATTTCACTTTCATATAATTATAAAAAACATTTCAAACAGTCAAATAACAACTATAATGATAAATATTGATTACAATATATTTTATAATACTGTATAGTATTATTGCTATCTATAAAAATTAATTATTTTATGTATTTTATTTTTAAATAAAAATATATTATATTAATAGTTATAAAACTAAAAACTAAAAACTATAGTATTATTATTATTATTATTACTGACTTTTTTATATCACTATTTATCAATTCAAATGTTTATCGCTTAAAAATTAATTATTTATTAATATATTATACATTATATTATATATTAAGTTATACATAACATTAAATATTTAATATATCTTTATAACTAATTATATTAATTTAATTTAATTAATTAAACTATGCATATATTTCAAGATAGATAAAAATTTATGGTTATTTTGTATTTATTATATTGTTTTTAATAAATTAATATCTTTTTGTTATTACTTCAAATTTTATAAAATACTTATAAAAAAATTTACCAAATATAGTAGTATTATTTTAGTTATAAGTTATAGATTTAATAATATAGATTTTTATTGTTTGAATAGTACTTTATTTTATTTGTTGTTTTGTTTAATTATATCAGTTTATTATAATATTTATTTTATCTAAAAGTGAATCTATAAATATATATATATTAAAAATTTTGCAAATCATCACTAACTATACTGTACTGTAAATGTTTGTTATCTAAAGTTATATTATAATACTGTATTATATATAAATATAATTAAATTTTATAAGTTATTTATATTTTATTTGTATTAATAATAATTTATTTTTATTGTATATTTTATACATTATACATAATTATATAACTTTAATAATTATTATTTAATTATAAAATTTCACTTTTATATAATAAAAATATTCACAATTAATTTTGCAATAATAAAAATAATAATAAAAATTGCATTTAATCAATAAATTATTTTAAAAAAATTATATTATATTAAAAATAAATTATATTATATTATATTAAAAAATAAAAGTTATTAGTGTATAGTATTACTGTTGTCTTATACAATAAAGTATATCGTTATCACTAACTATATGTTATTTGAGTAAATAATTAATAAATATTTATTATATATATATATAATTTATATATTAATTATCTAAATTTTATTGTTGATTATATTGTCAAATTATTATTGTTATAAATATATATATAACTTTTATTATAAATATTTTTTATATGATTTAAATTGTTTTTAAATAGCAAAATTAGTTTTTTTTGTTTATTACAGTATAAAATTACACAAATATAAAACTATTATTATTTTTAAAAAAATGAAATCACTATTTTTGCTAATAATTATTCAATTATTTTATATAAGTATAATAAACTGTGATCCAATTGATTTAACCCTGGTACCCGGATCAATTGGCCAGGATGTAGTCGAGGCTAGTATTGCCAAAGTGAACCAGATCAAATTGTTTGCCGATGACTCAGGGCTACTATTTAGACTGGCATTAGTTGAATCAAATTTCGGTGAAAATCCCCGAATATTTACCGCCAACGACAACACTAATGAATCGTCAAATATCTGGTCAATCGATAGCCAAAAATTTCGGGAAACTAAAGATATTGTCAAACATCCGGAATTGGTTCAGATTTATACAGAATTAATGGATAAATTTCATATCAATTGGCAAACAGTTAGTCTAAATGATATGCAACGACCATTGTATGGGGCATTGGCTACAAAAATATTTCTGCATTTAACTGTCGGCCGGTCTATACCTATACAAACAGTCGATGAACAGGCTATCTATTGGAAACAATACTATACAACCAACACTACCCGTGTCGGTGATGTCGACAGTGTCGACAAATTTCTAGGACAGGTATATAATTTAGAAGATCTATACGAATGTCAGCCACATATTAATCTCTGTATAGTATTGGACGGTTCGGGTAGTATTAGACCAAAAGATTTTCAATTAGCTAAAGATTTTCTGTATAATATAACCGCAAAAATTAGTTCATTGAATGGTAACTATTGTTTGGTATTATATTCAGATTATGCACAAACTATCTATGACTATACGGAAACTAATTTAACCAATAGATTACAAATGATTAGAAATCTTAAACAATTTCATATGACTACCAATTCAAGAGCCGGTATTCAACAAGCAGTCGATATTATGCAGTCATCCCAGTCGACACTGCCCTACAAAACAATGTTTTTGCTGACTGACGGCAAGTCTAACGATGGGGTAGAACCAGCTCTAAGTAATGCCAAGAAATCAGGGATCAAGTCATGGGTATGGGGTGTCGGACCGGGTGTTAATGTCCAGGAATTGTTGGAAATTGCCTATAAATTACCCGATAATGTTAGACAACTAACTAAATATAGTGGACTTCGTAGTGAATTATATGCATTCAAACAGTCCGTATGTACTGATCCATTGCCACTAAATATAGACCAAAAATTTGATGATATATTAGCGAAAAGAAAAAAACAATATTTTGTAATTGATTTAACAAAAACTACTGGCAGTGGTATAAACCTAACGGTTCAAACAACTAATGGCAAACTATTGGGTTATTATGCCTATAGTACCCAACATCCATCATCAGCTGTCAATGATGACCAGTTTGCTGATGTTCATAACCCGATTTACATACCCGGCCAACAACAACATAAACAAGTTTATGTTGCTATTGAAGGCCAGCTCATGGATAACGCTTATAGTATTATTGCAACTAATGTTTAAACTGGAAAAAAATAATTTTACAAAAAATATAAATATTATTGAAGAAAAATACATAAATAAATAAATTAAATTATATAAAACTTTATTTTTTTGTAAAAATGTTTTTTAAGTAATTTAATAATACTATATTTTATAAAATTTTAAGTTATAACAAAATTTTTAAAGCTATTAATTATTTAAAAAAATAGTATAATTAATGCAAAATAACCATAAATTTTTAACTATCTTGAAATATTTTAATAGTTTAATTAAATTAAATAAATTATAATATAATTAGTTATAAAGATATATTTAATGTTTAATGTTATGTATAATTAGAGTTAGATCAGATTCCCTCCCTCGTCTTATTTTCCATAAGTTCCTTATATTCCCTGTTCCCTGGGAATTCCCTGGGAAGACATTTCCTTGTGGTACCACCTATCGTACCCTAACTCACTTTACATAATGTTTAATTAAAAACACGTTTGTATAGTAAATGTCTACAAAATGTATTTAATGTTTTTACTAAATGTTTAATATTATTTGAATCACAATTTGATTGTGTTATTACTAACATAATAGTCCTAATTGAAACACATAGTCATTGAGATTAGGTACTTTTTAATGTATGACAAATTATATTTTCCCTTTCTAACGATCAAGGGAGGGAATATAATATATTTTCCATATTTTCCGGGAAAATTGGAGGGATTTTATTTGGGAACTTCCCTCCCTGGGAATCTCAATCTAACCCTATGTATAATATAATGTATAACTTAATGTACAGTAAAATCCAGCTAACTCGGTGCGCATGATCTACAAAATTTATACTGTTAATGCTATAGACCTTTGATGATCAATTTTGCTATCATGATAGATTTTTGAATTAAACTTTATTACGTATTTTATACTAATGTTAATAATATATTTTACTCATTTACAAATAAACTATTACAGTAATATCAAAATTATTTTTTGTCAAATTATATTTAAAACTATCTCAATATAAGCAAAACCAAAACAATAATTGCCGTCACACAATGATACCCTATAACACAGTAGTTTATGTATATTCGCGCAATATTATTAGGTATAATGCTTAGGGGCGGAGTTTATACAAAACAATATGTATTTTTGTATGTATATATTAAGTGTAATCTATGTGTTTGTGGTGCGTCTGCTATTGTTTTGGTTTTATTTGTACTGAGACATTTTTTTTATTAATTAAAAATTTTCTACCCTAATAAATTTTGTTATGTTATATTTGTTTTATTTATTTATTTTTAGTATTTTTTGTATAATTAACGTTGCAGGGACCAATTAATAATAAACCTTTGAGAGCATTAGAGCTATAGACAATAAGACCATACTATTCTCACACGTTCATACAGAAATATATTGTTTTATCGTAATACAAGTCAAATATTTTAAAATTACGGTTAGCATCAATATCTTGTGACCACTTGTGACCAAATAAATTTTTAAATGATTTATATGTAATTTTTACCGCTGATTACGAATATGTTAATAAAATTTTTATACATCGTATAAATTTTGAAATATTCGATTTTAAAGTCGAAATATTTTAAATAACGTAATTTATGAATATAATACATCATTTCTATGTAATTTTCAACGCTGATTACAAATATGTAAATAAATTTTACAAAATAGTTATATAAATTACTATTAAATATGTTTTACTTCAACATTATGTCCATCACTACCAGCTAGGTGTAAGATATTAGAAACTAAAATCAATTAAAAGATCAATTAAAAAACTAAAAAATGTATAAATTTTCTGAATATTTCAAAAACTATTTCATGTAGTTAAAATTTATTTATATATTTGTAATCAGCGTTAAAAATTGCATAGAAAAGATGTATTATATTTATAAATTACGTTACTTAAAATATTTCGACTTTAAAGTCGAATATTTCAAAGGCTATTCGATGTATAAAAATTTTATTAACACATTTGTAATTAGCGTTAAAAATTACATAGAAATTGAGTTGAAATCCGAGTTGAGTGCATTTTACTGTATAATATATAATAAAAACTTAATTTTTTTAGCGAAAAACATCTAAATAGATAAATTGTGATATAAATAAATAATACTATAGTTTTTAGATTTAGCTTTATAACTATTAATATAATATATTTTTATTTAAAAATAAAATATAAAAAAATTTATAAATTTATTTTTATAGACAGCAACAATACTATACAGTATTATAAAATATATTGTAATCATTTTTTATCATTAGAATTGTTATTTCATTTTTAAAAAAAATTGATAAAAAGTTTTTATAATTATACCAATGTTAAATTAAAATTATAGATTTAATTATAAATTAATAAAGATATAAATATTTACTTATTCTATAATATATAGGGGTGGGTCTAGGTGGTGGTGTATATTTTTATTGAATTTTTTATTGATTATAAATATGATATATTATTATTGTAATATTGTTATGAATATATATATTATTAAATATTTTAATTTTTTTTTTGTTTTATTATTAATATGATTAATAGATTTTATTTTTTTAATTTGCTTTATTAAAATAACAAATATATATATATATATATATATATATATAAGAATTATACATAAAATCTATTAAAACATAAAAAAATAGAAAAAATTTGCTTAAAAAATATTTATTTATTTAATTATATAGTAATAAATTTTCCTGTAATTATTTTTATAATAAATAATTTTCTACTTTTATATTACTTGATTATTAATTTGATTTAGTTTTTTTAAGTATTAGTTGCAATAATACTGTAGGCGTTATCTATTTTCTGGCCAACAATAGCAACATAGACTCTAGTATGTTGTTGTTGTTGGCCGGGTATGTTAACCTGATCAGCAAACTGGCCATCATTGACAGCTGATGATGGATGTTGGGTACTATAGGCATAATAGCCCAATAGATTGCCTTTGATTGTCTGAACCGTTAGGTTTATACCACCAGCTGTTTTACGTAAACCAATAATATAATATCGTTTTTCCTGTTTGACTGTTGTGTCCTTAAATTTTTGGCCAATAATTAGCTGCAATGGTTCAGAACATACCGTTGTCTTGAATTGATATAAATAGCTATCCATTGAACTGTATTTAGTTAGTTGTTTGACATTTTCCGGTAAATTGTATGCAATTTCCAACAATTCCGTACCGTTAACATCGGGTCCTACACCCCAAACCCAACTATTTATATCGGCTAACTGGGCATTACTTACAGCTGGTTGAACACCGGGTGTTACATGATTGGACTGGCCGTCAGTCAATACAAACATTGTCTTATAGGGTATAGAAGCTATGGATGTCTCCATAATATCGACCGCTCGTTGAATACCTCCTCTAGTATTGGTAACACCATTTGGTTGTCTAATATTTCTAATTAGATCCAATCGTTTAGGTTTATTAGTTAGCGAAAAATCATAGATAGTTTGGACACCAGTTGAAAACAATACTAAACAAAACTGTCCGTTTTCTGAACTAATTTTATCGGTAACCTTATACAGGAAATCTTTGGCCATTTGAAAATCATTGGGCGCTATACTACCCGAACCGTCCAATACATAGCATAGTTTAATATGTGGCGTACATTCAAATAGATCTTCTAGTTTGTGGACATCCCGAACAAATTGTTGGACATCAGCCTGGACACTAGTTGTATAATGTTGTTTCCAATAGTGAGCCTGGTCATCAATTGTTTCAGGTATAGGCTGTCCACTTAAATGCAGAAACATTTTTGAATAGTTGATAAAAATTATTATAATTTTATTATTATTATTAATTATTTTTAAGCATTAGTTGCTATAATACTTTTATAACTGTCTATAAAAATTAATTATTTTAATGTATTTTATTTTATTTTAAATATATTATATTAACAATTATAATAATGAAAACTAAATATATTTAATTTATAGTATTATTATTATTTTATGTCTTTCATTATATTTTTGTCGTTATCACTAATTATCAATTTGGTTGTTATTGAGTTTTTATTATATAAAAGTTGTATTGTTTTCTATGTATGTTATAATAATAACTAATTAAATTAATTAATTAATTAAAGTTATAAAATTTTTTTAAAAATATAAACATTTATTGTTAACAAAATTAATAATTAAGTTTAATTGCATAACTTTGAGACATAATAATTTCAATCTCACTTTTTTAAAAAATAAATAAATATAAAATCTTATTATATTATAAAATTAATATTTTAACTATAGAAATAATAATACAAATAATGACCCAATAATGCTATAATTTAAACAAAATTTTACAAAATATAATATAGTATTATTTTTTTCAAATCAAATTTAATAGATATTAATTATTTGAAAAACTAAAGTACTATTATCTAAATAATTAATTTTTGATAGTTATTAGTATAATTTATGAAAAGTACCATGATAAAAGTAAATCACACTTATATAGAGTAGTACAAATTAAATAAATATTTTATTTTAGTCATAGTTTAAAATATTAGTTATTATTTATTGTAATGTTTTTTTTAAAAACTTTTCAACTAAATAAAAATTTTAACAACTTACTTTACTGTAATAAACTTTTTGGTTTGAAATCCTGAAAAAATAATAGTTATAATAATATAGTTATATATATATATATTAATAACATATAATAAAAATTAAATAATTGTTTACTGAAATAATAGCTAAAATTTATAAATAGTAATAACGACATAATTATATAATAAACAATAATAATAATAATACTTTTTTTTAATTATAATTATTAATATTTTTTTAATATTATTATTAGTTGTAAACAAAAATAATCTTAATAATTTTTATTATTATATTTATGAATTATATGAAATGCTAGATTTTATTATGTTTGAAAGTTATCCAATTAATCTGTTATTTATTAATACATTTATAAATTTGTTATAATATATTTAGATATAATATATTTCATAATGAAAATTCAATTTCCTATTTGAAAATATTAGCCGAATAGTGATAACGATATTGCTTTATATACTATCATAAAATACATCAAATAGTTTTCAATTATTATTATATTTTTTCTTTAATAATATATAAAATAAAATAAATAAATAAATAATAGACAAACAAATAATACACTATTTATTCGATATTTAGTAATAAATATTTATCATTAATGTTGTTATTTAAACTAAAAATAGCAAAAAGTTTTTATTACATAAAAAGTAAAATTAAATAAACAGTATATTGTTATAGATTATTATTAATATATTATTAGTTTAATTATACTATTATTTATTAATATATGTTTACTTGTATGCAACGATCAGATTATTATTGTTATAAATATACAGTATATATATAAACATTTATTATTACTTATTTTTTAATTAGTAATTTTTTATTTTAAGCTTAAGAAATTAAATTAGAAAAAAATATTGAAATTATTATTTACAGTAAAAAAAATGAAATCAATATATTTGCTAATAATTATCCAATTAGTTTATAATAGTATTAATTGCAATCCAATTGATTTAACCCTGGTACCCGGATCAATTGGCCAGGATGTAGTGCAAGCTAGTTTAGCCAAAGTGAACCAGATCAAATTGTTTGCCGATGATTTAGGGTTTTTATTTAGACTGGCATTAGTTGAAACAAATTTCGGTCAAAATCCCCGAACATTTGCCACAAACAACAACAACACGAAAAACAATGAATCGCCAAATATTTGGTCAATAGATGAACAAAAATTTCGGGAAACCCAAGAAATTCAAAAATATCCGGAATTGTTGGGGATTTACTATGAATTGGCCGATAAATATGATATCGATTGGCAACGACTAGATTTAGATGATATGCAACGACCATTATATTCGGCATTGGCTTCAAAAATGTTTCTGCATTTAAGTGGACAGCCTATACCTGAAACAATTGATGACCAGGCTCACTATTGGAAACAACATTATACAACTAGTGTCCAGGCTGATGTCCAACAATTTGTTCGGGATGTCCACAAACTAGAAGATCTATTTGAATGTACGCCACATATTAATCTATGCTATGTATTGGACGGTTCGGGTAGTATAGCGCCCAATGATTTTCAAATGGCCAAAGATTTCTTGTATAAGGTTACCGATAAAATTAGTTCAGAAAACGGACAGTTTTGTTTAGTATTGTTTTCAACTGGTGTCCAAACTATCTATGATTTTTCGCTAACTAATAAACCTAAACGATTGGATCTAATCAGAAATATTAGACAACCGAATGGCGTTACCAATACTAGAGGAGGTATTCAACAAACAGTTGACATTATGCGGGCGTCGTCACCAATAGCACAGATACCCTATAAGACAATGTTTGTATTGACTGACGGCAAGTCTAACCATATAACGCCCGGTGTTCAGCCAGCCGTTAGCAATGCCCAGTTAGCCGATATCAATAGTTGGGTTTGGGGTGTCGGTCGGGGTGTTTATGTACGGGAATTGTTAGAAATTGCATACAATTTACCCGAAAATGTCAAACAACTAACTAAATACAGTTCAATGGATAGCTATTTATATCAATTCAAGACAACGGTATGTTCTGAACCATTGCAGCTAATTATTGGCCAAAAATTTAAGGACACAACAGTCAAACAGGAAAAACGATATTATATTATTGGTTTACCTAAAACAGCTGGTGGTATAAACCTAACCGTTCAGACAACTAAAGGCAAACTACAGGGTTATTATGCCTACAGTACTCCACATCCGTCATCGGCTGTCAATGATGGCCAGTTTGCTGATCATATTTACATAACCGGCCAACAACAACAACATAGTCTAGTCTATGTTGCTATAGTTGGCCAGCAAATAGCTAACGCCTACAGTATTATTGCAACTAATGCTTAAAAAAAACTAAATCAAATTAATAATCAAGTAATATAAATGTATAAAAATTATATTATAGAAATAATTACCCGGAAAAATTTATTAATACCTAATTAAAATAAATAAATTTTTTAAACAAAAAAAATTATAATTTTTTATAATTTTTTTTGTAGAAATATGTTTTAGTTTTTTTTTGTATAATTCTAATATTATTAACAATAAATGTTTATATTTTTAAAAAAATTTTATAACTTTAATTAATTAATTAATTTAATTAGTTATTATTATAACATACATAGAAAACAATACAACTTTTATATAATAAAAACTCAATAACAACCAAATTGATAATTAGTGATAACGACAAAAATATAATGAAAGACATAAAATAATAATAATACTATAAATTAAATATATTTAGTTTTCATTATTATAATTGTTAATATAATATATTTTAAATAAAATAAAATACTTAAAAATAATTGATTTTTATAGACAGTTATAGAAAGTATTATAGCAACTAATGATTAAAAATAATTAACAATAATAATAATATTGTAATAATTTTGTCAACTATTATAAAATTAAATTTATTAATACATAATAAAATAAATGAATTGAAACATTTTTTTTATTGTTTTATCTATTTTTAATGTTTTAGTAGAGAATAGTTTTTATTATTTATAATTTAGTCATTAAATTATTAATAATTTTTTTTATTATTATTAATTATTAATCAGATTATTATAAATTTTAAAACAATTAATAATTATTACAATCTTGCACTACAAACTGTGCCAATTGATTTGGGTACCATGGTGAAATCTATTGGATAGCTGTATATACTTATATAAAATAATTGCATAAATATTAGCAAAAATATTGACTTTATTTTAATTTTTTATTGTAAAATTTTTAAAAAAAAAATTATTCTGTAATAAACTATTTTAGCTTAAAATTTTAAATTATAGAAAAATTAATTATAATTTAAAGTTTATAACTTATATATATTCATAATAATAATAATATTTTGAATTTTGAAAACTTAAAAATTACATAAATTAATCCCAAATATGTTGTTATAGACTATTTAAATTACACACAAAAATAATTAATAATAATATTATTATTTTTTTAATTAAATAACAATTACTTTAGTATTATTATTATTATCGATAATTGGAAACAAAAATAATTTTAGGAACATTTTATTTTTTAATCATATTATATAATGATATTTATTACATAAATTTCAATTAACATTTACTACAGTACTATATATATACTGTATATATATATATATATATAGAAACACACACAGCTATGATACTTAAAAAATTATTGTTACAATTAATAATTTGATAAAATATTAATATATATTTAATAAAACATTTATTTAGTTATAATATAAATACGAAAACAACTCAAACTTAACATTTATAATAATAATTTTTTTTGGTTATCAATTAAGTATTAAATTTTTTTTTGTTAATACCCGTAATTATAATTTTGATTAATTCAGTTTATATATATATATTAATTAATAATTAATAATATATATATATAGATTAATAGTTTAATCTGCATATTTAAATTAATTTTTTGTAAAAATTTTACTGTACTTTACTACTATTATTATGATATATATTATTCATATTTAATAATATAATATTTTATGATACTTATGAAAATACTATTATAATTATATTAATATTTTCCATTGTGTTTTTTTAAAAAAAACTTTTAAACTATTATAACTAAATTAAAAATAATTATAATTATATTTTTTTTTACATATTTATGATTATTTTTGTTGTTGTTATCTTAATAGTATAAGTGCATAGTATAATAGTATTTAGTAGTTAGTGATTGTCAAATAAATAAATAAATATATATAACAGTATATATATATAATAGTATATATATATATATAATAGTATATATATATATATAATAGTATATATATATATAAAATATATATATTCTATTAACTTATATTAATAAAAAATTATTAATAAGTTAATTATAGTTAAAAATTAATTTACCATTACAATATTAATTACAACATAGATATATTATATATTTTTATGATTTATAATTTTCACTTTTTAATTGTTATATATATATATATATAAATTATCGGTTATTTACGATCAAAAAACAAATTCACAAAAAAATTTCAATACAATTAAAAAATTACTATTTATATGAAGTAATTTGATTTATTAATTTTTTGTATCTATTTTTTATAATTGATAATTAAATTTTGATTTTTTTCACTATTTATCAATCAATCAATCAATCAATCTATCAAACAATTAGGTACCGATTCATCTGATTTTTTACGCAAACAATAGGGAAAATAAGTTTTTTTTTTAGTGACTGTACGGACTCCGACACTGGCCATCGATTGCATACAATTATTATGGACAGTACTGGCCACTGAAGACGGGCCCAGTAGACGGTAGCCGAGTTTGCGGTAGACGTACCCTATCATTGATTTTCAGGTTGATATCCCGACATCAATGGGATCGGTGGCCTAAATAGCCACACATTAAAACCCGCGACAATATACCCGAAACTCCCGGAAGCAATTGGATGACAGGATTGCATACTAAAAGTTACGTAAAAAGTAGTGGTAGTGATAGTAGTTGTAGTAATGGTTGGTAATGATGGCAATGATGATAGTGTGCTGGTAGTGGTGGTGGTGGTGGTGGTAGTAGTGATGGGGTGTATAGCAGATAATGCCAGTGCAGACCAAACAACAACAAACAGTGCCAACAATAATAATAATAATAAGTCGACTGTTTTCTAGAGAGAAAATAATAAAATATTTGTAAAATTTTTTAGACTAATATATAACCAAAAATACCTTAAAAACTAATAATTATTATTATATCATATAATATCATCCGATTTGTCTTAAATATCTTGTTTCTTGAATCCAAGCGACGTAAACACTTCCTCATCGGGTATGCCATGATTTTGCTGGTCATCACTGATGATGATATTAATAACAATAAAAACAGAGAGAGAGAGAGAGAGAGAGAGGAGAGAGAGAGACAGAGAGAGAGACAGAGAGAGAGACAGAGAGAGAGACAGAGAGAGAGACAGAGATAGAGACAGAGACAGAGACAGAGAGACAGAGAGAGAGAGACACAGAGAGATAAAAAATTAATTATTTTTAAAAAAAAATAAAATATAAAATTGTAAAATCTTATATTATTTTTTTTTATTTATATGTATATATATATATATATATTGTATATAAACTTATTAAGAGTATTCAATAGATACTCTGGATTGTCCTCCTCTTCCTCATGTATGGTCGATGTTGGTAACGGTTTATCAAAACCAACTTTCCCCATTAGATAATAGGTAGGCTGTTTGCCACGTCCTATCAAATTTTTAACCACAATTTTAATTAATTAATTAATTTTATTGATTTAACTTAAAAAAAACAGATATAAGTAAATAAAAACAATTTTTTTAAATAAAAATATTATTATTATTATTCGAAATTTACATATCATTTAACATTTTAAAAAATTCAATGTTTAAAAAATTGTTTTAATTAAAACTAAATATATCTAATTTAAAGGAAAATTTCAAAATCTATTTAATTGTATTTTAGTTTATTTATAAACTATAATTAATTTAATATTTATTTATATCACTATATATTTAATATTTTATTTTAAAAAACCCATTTTAATAGTTAGAAAATATTGTATTTTAGTTTTATTTTATTTAAAAATAAATATCATCTATCAGTTTATAATAATAATAATACTAAATAATATGTAAATATATGATAATATTAACACTAATATAATATTATATATTAGCTGTTTTTCTAGAAATTAATGGAGTTTATCGTAATTTAATACTTTTTTCTTAAATAACAAATAAAAAAATTAAATATATTTTTTATTATTGTGTAACTGATTTATAATATACACTATTTAGATAATAATGTTTAGCCAAAAAAAAATATATTCAAAATAGTGAAAAAAAATTAAATGAAACTTAATATATATATCTATAAAAAAAACTTAAGTTATGTTTGGGAATATATTTTTAATTCAGTGTAAATAAAATATATTAATAATATATATATAAAAAGTAAACAACAAAAAAAGTTTAGTCAAAATATTAGTAAGTAATTTATTTTATGTATTATTATTATTATTATTATTCTGTATTAATATTATATTATACATTAATATTGAAAAAATAAATAAATATTTTTATACCCATTATATTATAATGATATATATATACTGTATATATATAAGTTATTATTAATGTATTATATTGTAATAAAACACGATTCAATGAATATTATTTATTATTTAGTAAAATATATAAGTTATGATCAAAAAAATATATGACTTATTGTTGTTGTGTATGTGTAATAATAAATTGAAATAAAACAACAAAAAGTTTATATAAAAAAATTATGTTAACATAAAAAACAACACTTTTTTATATCACATTATATATTCAAAAAAAACACTAACATTTAGTTTTTATAGATTAACATTCAATACAGTAATAATAATAATAATAAAGTTTCAAAAATATTATCTAATAAGTTAAAAACGATAGATTATATTATACTATTTGTCTATAGAAAAAATTATTAGGTATTATTAATATTTATTTGTAAAAAAAATTTTAATAATAATAATTATTATTATTAAAATTAAAAAAAATAAATATTACTAATACTAATAATTTTTTTTATAGACAAATTATTAATACTATTATAAATTATAATTATATTAAATTAAATTATTATAAATAATTAAATTATAATAATAATAATTATTATTATTATTATTGAAAATTTAAAAAATAAATAAATATTACTAATACTAATAATTTTTTTTAAAGACAAATTATTAATACTATTATTATATATAATTATATTAAATTAAATTATTATTAATAATTATAATAATTATTATTATTATTAATTATACCGACCTTTCAATGTAATCTCTCCCCGGTATTTG